TCGGTATCCCGTACAATTCCGAGATCAAATAGTGTGGTAACAGTGTCATAGCGAGACACGACCCCGATAGAAGAAGCCTTTTGTCGAGCTTCAACATTCTCGTAACGACCATATTTCAGTGAAAATCTGCATGTGCTGTCCACAAAACATTGGCTGATCACCCAAATTGCTTATTACTCTAGATCTGTGGAACACACTCACGGGCTGCACTGGGGCTCTTGTTACGCTGAGTTCAAAGAGGAACCATAGATAACTATTAAAGAAGTACCGAAGTCCCAGCTTACTTTGCATCACTGACGTCTACTTGCCTACCTCTGTCATAACGAGCGCAAATCAGGAAACTGATGAGGGCGGGCAGCGTTTGTTTCGTCCCTGTTTTCAGGAGATGGGCTAGTGAATATACACAGTTTCGGAAATACGCGTGCTCTCCAAGATAACTTATTTTGCTGAACACTAGAAGGTCGCCACTGATATCAGGAAGACGTCGTCTGTTTTGCGGATTTTACCATCGGGATTCTTCTCGCTCAACCCTGCATTCGCAGCAGCAGGCCACTGAAGCCTATGAAGGTAGAAAAATAGCGAAGTCTGCATGAACGGTGGATTTTGTGACCTCTCTTCCGTCACTCACCACGGTTGTGCATTCTCGGCTGAACTGTGGAATTACCTGATGGCATATAACAGTCTGATCGTCTCACCAACGGTCGACAAGAAACGTGCTCAGACAACTGCACCTGTGCAGTAGTGGATTCAGATAGTTCAACCATGTGGCACTCCAACTTGAAGGAGAAATCAAGTGATCTTTGAGGTGAATGTCGTGACCCGGTAGGACGGTCTTTGATCTCCAAGTATGCTTTCGAAGTGGCCCTCGGAGGGAGGAACAACGCAGGGTGACAGTGAAGAAACCAAGTCTACTCAGTCAACGCCGATTAGCGGAGCCTTCCCCTCCACCAACTTCCGGGCAGGATGAAACGATAAAGGGTGGTAGAAAACCCAGGAGTTCCGAATCAGTTAAATTAACGCAATGAGACAGGAAATTCAAACGTGTCATGCGTCAGCGATCGCTTTTGACTGGACAGGAGTCGATAGCCTGTTCTGCCAAACGAGAACCAGTTGTGACCGGCGCGTGGATTGGTCCACACTGAGGGAGACTTGCGAGCATCGAACCAACTACGTCCATACTCATAATGTTATAAAACTAAGGGGAAGCTAGAATGACAGATGCCACTATGATATAGGGTGATGTGGGAGTTGACCCCGGGGACCCTTTTCTCGAGCGTCTGGGTCGAGGATTCGGATAGACAGCGGGTATCCACACTGTATCGATGGAGACTACATGCACTCAGGTTCTTAGTGCCAGGGCCAAAGAACGTCCATCAGTCCAATATCAAGAGTCCGCGCCACAGGACCATCTCTGGCTAGTAAAAGCTGTCTGTTCAATTTCGACCAGAGAATAAAACTATTGACTATGTCTCCCATCAGTTTGGGCCGAGAGCACGCAAATGATCGAAGAGGGCCATGGTGCCAGACCCCAGCGACCCATCGCCCCGCGGAAGACAAGCGTGTGAAGTATGGCCTAGTGGACCGGGTTTATAGTGCCGATGACATCGTTCTTTAAATTTTACGATAGAACACCCTCTGTCGCCATCCGGCTGTGGTCTCAGCACTCTGTTGTCAAGGTGAGGTGATGTCCTTTTGCATACAGTCATTATGACCATGTCTGGCATCCTTGCCGAAGGCTTCGTTGCATAGAGGACACCTCAGCAAATACAACACACACCAATTGGGCACCACTTCATATTGTCCCATATTGTCTGCAAAAGCCGCTGCCGATATCGCCTCATGGACTCTCGGGCATGACTGCACGCAGTGCGCGCTAGCCCCGGTTTCGCCAGAGGCTACTGCCGCCTGATAGGACGGCTCAGGGTTGTGTATAACCCCCCGTCTCGGTGACTTCTGCCTCCTACAACTCGGGGTTTGGTCTGATTATTGTAAGGCTCTGAGTAGACACTTACTGCTTAGCCGCTGCAAATTGGTGACCCGGCGTGGCCCGAACAGCCAATTCCCATGTTGCTGAGCTCCATTGTCATGAAATTCTTAATCTTTCATCCTGACGACTTTCCTGTCATTTACGGTGTCCATAGGTGGGAAGACGCAGCAGCGACACCCTGTCGCGAGTCGATATGGATGTTATCAACAAACCACAGTCATGCAAGCCGAGGTCAAACCCCAATCGAATTGTGTTCAGCAGTCGTCTAAGTGTGTTGCCACCCAAACACACCTCTCTTTTGTCCGAGATACTTTTACCACCCATTACCAACGAAACCATCATTCTCGAGTTATTTCTATGTACTCAACATGGCAATGCATATTAACCGATGCATCTCCAAACTTTCGACACTGCGCTCTGCCCCTATTTTTGTCTCGACGACAGTGAGCCTGCCTTACTAACGCCTACGTTTAGCTCAGCCGTCACTGGGATGCGTTGCATCCGTAAGGTCCTACCCTCTCATACCAACGTGCCAACCCACCAGGACGTTGACGAGACCACGCCAGCACCCATAACTGGCGCCCCAACTGCACCCCTGCACAGGTAGACGCATCAGCCTCGCACGCGGCCCGAGCTACTTCTGTCAACATCGACAAGCTCTCAAATCCGCAAGTGCAATTGAACAGTCCATCCACTTCACCGTTTGCCTCACGATTGATACCGTCCGCCCGTTTTGTGGTTGGCGAGGAGCTGCTGTCGACAGCCATCATGGCCATATCTGGTGTCCTTGTCGAATGCCCCATCGCGCCAAGGTCATTCGTCGTCGTAGCGAGCAGTCCCAAACGCGATGACCTGCAGCTACTCGACCGACTTCAACGCGGACGCTCGCGCTCCCACGGTCGCAGATGTCCATGCGCCACTTGAACACACCACCATCCTGCGAACACAACATAAACCACTTGAACATTACCCCTCGACAAATGCAACACACCAATTGGGCCCCACTTGAGTTTGGCCCGCGAGCTCACAAGAGCAGCTGTCACTGCCGTTTCGGCTCTCGGGTATGACTGGACGCAGCAGACGCTAGGCCCGGATGCCTAAGAGGACAACTCAAGATCCTGAATACAGTGAGCCGCCCGTTCCGGTGACTGCTGTCCTTTCCTACAACACGGAACTTGGACTGATGGTTGAATCGCCATGAGTGCACTCGCAGCTTGGCCGCCACAGCTCCACACCCACTGCCAGACTAGCTCAGTCCTCATTTCCCTTCCAACCGACGCGAACGCCAGCAGACATAAACATGAACGAGCGACCGAGCCACGGATCTCACACTTCGTCGCTGTTGGGGTGCCAAGCACATCAAAACTGTCAGCCTCTGTTTGCCCGCCAGCAAAGAGCAAACCTGACTACTGGTGGCGGAACAAGACGGCATCTATCGCGCGAAGCACCACTGAGACGGCGAGGAGCCCAGCAACCGAGCCTTCTGGACGTCGGCACTCCTTAAGGTGCACAGGGAAGTACCGATAAAAGTATGGCGTGTCCGCCGGTATCGCAAGGACGAGATGACGGAAGTGCCCCCCTCCCCCGCCGCCCAAGCGGTTTAACGGAAACCCCTCAGAGGAGATACGCGAACTCCTAACAGGAAGTAGCAGAGATCCCCCGGGTGGCAATGGGTCACTGCGTGTGGAGACAGGAGTCCCCAAATGTGCCATCAAGAGGATCTGGTTGCCGGAACCACAGCTTGTTGAGGGATTGAGCCGCAACACACGCGTGAACTAGTGGTCAGTGCCCGCCTAGGCTAATAGGTTTTCCCAATTCCTGTAACAGTTCATCTCACCTGCGAGCCCAACGACCACAAGGCTCTCCATACACATGATCTGAGACCCCTTCATGAACATGACCGCAGGTTTGGCGGATTCCAAACACTAGGCTTTCATACAGCACAGGCACCAGGTCTTTCACCGAGCGTACGATGAGGCACAAACTTTGTACCTCTATATCTTAACAGCCGTGCTTAGCGTTTACAACAAGGTCTATAATTGAAACGTTTTATTTTGTATTTACAGACATTTTCGAAACACGACAAAATAAAGCTATGTTTGTGAACAAAATAGGGCTGAAGCCCAAAAGCAGCTAAAGGGAATAGGCGGGATTCTGATATTACGAAATACAGACCGGGCGGACAGGATATTCATGTGTACAACAATATGTGACATAAAACCACCAAGCATACTCAAATGCTCCATGAAAGCCATGGTGTGCTCAGAGAAGAACCACGTTTCTGTCATGCGTACAATTAGTTGCATTCGCCACGTAGAATATCGTACGACCTCGAAGTCGCCGAAGCTTTTGCGTCGTGACGTCTTCAAACACAAGCCTCCAAGCCGGAGTGGAATAGACGAGCTAGAAGTTCCTTGCGGAGGTGCTCGGTGTTATCACAGATCAAGTGCATGCGATACGTTTCAAAAAAAAACCATTATAATCGTTGCGCTCCTCAAGCACGCTGCTGCCTGTGGCATTTTGCAATTCCATCCACTCTATACACCCGTACTATAAATGCTGGATCAAAAGGGACAAATGCATCTTCGTAAGTCAAGCCTTTTCCGACACTGCTGCCTGAGTGGGGCGCAAAAGCACGATTTGAGAGTAGTACACCACCGTTAATAATATAACCCTGAAAGCAGCCGCAAGCGTTCGAAGGAAAAAATCAGAAATCCACAGAAAAGTCATATCGAAGGTAAACCAAATATACACAGGAAAATAAAAAAAGAGAAAGCCAACCGACCAGGCAAATAAAAGCCTCCCCGGCGTTATAAAATCTGATCAGTGGGCAAGTGAAGACGCAACAGCTACAATCCACCGTCCGGAAGGAAATTCAGTAAATCGACTCCGGGACGAACTAGGCAGATGACATAAATGCATCACAGAACTTTTCGGCGGTTCCTCGAGCTATGTACACACGCTTGACTTAAATGAAGCATAAGAGTAGCTAATAGGTGGAATATTAGTCCAGTCAACTGCTCTTGTGTCCACTCATAGAGCCTTCAGGAGAGGTTCGGCCAGAGTGGTCAGCACTGTGGGTCTTGTTGCGTTGAGTGATGGGCATGCCGGGATTTGTATAAAACCCATTCATTTCCGGCACGGGGCTCGATCCGTTTACATGCATGAATGTGTTTGTCGAGCCATTAGGACAGTAATTAAGTCCATAGACTAGGTTGACTATGTGGGACTCCAACTTTCCATCAGAATGTTCCTAAGCAAGTAAGATTGACCAATACAAAAACATACCTCCAAAAAGCGGAAGAAGGTCTCCCCAGTTAGCATGGCGTCACTGCCGGCTTGGTGCTGCAAGCCTATTCGAGGAACGTGAAGTGCATCTGCAAGTTCCTGAAGGCCACCTTTGAGGAACTTGTGCTCATTCATCATGGCTTTCAAATCAATTATGCGCGGGAAAAAGATGGCGAGCATCTTCTGAAACTCGACGAAATTCTCCGGCATCTTAAGCCAGTCTGTACAAATTTTCATCATGTACGCAAAATCATAGGCACTAGAAGTAAACGGCATATAGGTGACCTTACCTATGAAAACCAATCCAAGTTATGTTTTCGTTGAGAGCCAGTCCGCTGGCAAGGAAGGCCTCCGCAAACTCCTGCAGCTCGACCCCATTCATTTTCAGTTTTTCGAAGTCAATCCCGCACAATTCTAGTAGCTGAATTGAGTCCGCTGCGTGCGTCTCGTTGTCGACGTTCCACTTGAGATTAAACTGGACGGTAGAAACTAAATCCACGGACTGGCCACGCTCACCGAAGAAGCTGAAACCGATCTGGATGGGCCGTAACATGTCAATATTAACCTTGATGTTGTGGTACGCCTGCTCAAAACTGTTTGTGTACTCTCCAAAAACCTTTGCCACAACGCCAGGGAATTCAGTGTCTACGGCGACAAAACGCGAGTTCCGTGCTAGCCTCCGGACGAGCCGCATACCTTCTTGAAAATTGTGGGCCCAGACGTCCCAAACTCGCACCATCTGAGGGAAACCATTAGATGGTACGTGACAGTTGGAGGGGTTTGAGAGATTGTGAAGACCTTGAGGATGGCTTCCGTGGTGATATTGCATGGGATGTGCGAGATGGGAGCCACCGTGGGGATGGCGACTGTGCTGATTTACGTACATATCCGTCGTTATGGCCATATTACCCCGGAAAGTATCGAATTTTTGGAAGAGAGGATTTAAAGAGGAGTCTGACTGATTTGTCTGGAGGATACCGTTCGAAAAACCGTTATGAGTCACAGGAGCAATGTCTCGGAAGGGTTGCATTGAAGTACATAAGTGGCACATCCAATATCCTTGTCTGTAATATGAAAAAAATGGATAAGCCAGACGTCAGTTGTAAGAGAATCCACAGTTAATTCACGTTAACCCTACCCATAAACGCAAACGGTCACCTGGCGAAACGAAATGCCGGCCAAAGTGTATACCGTCCCGCCGTCTGCTTACAATGATTTATTCGCCTTGTGCAGTTAAACAAATGTGCTCTTTGTGATATTCATAGGGCAGCGCACAGGCTTATAACAGAAAATATGCAATTTTAAGGAAAAAATGAACTTGCATCCTTTTTAAGAATTCGTTTCCTACTTCTTATCGGCTCTCTATGGGAGCTAGTGCATTTGTCGGAGTTTGTTAGACACAGATCCAAATCCCAGACATTTTAACCAGGAGCCTTGAGTCCACGTCTTTGCTAAACTCTTCGAAAGGTGTACAACAACCCTGAGGAACTTGCAGACGCTGTGTTATATGTTAAACCAAGCCTTAAAGCAGCACTAGTTAGAAAACAGTTCCACGTCTATAGAAGCGAAAAGACGAGTCCCAGGAAGCAGTCTTGAAGAAGAAGACACGATCGCCGGGACAAGAGCTTTATTAGCCTGACGTTTCGGATTCCTGCTGGAATCCATCATCAGAGACATAAGCAGATAAGGGTGGTTCATGCACATGTGGCTGCAGTATTTATAGGATACTGCAGCCACATGTGCATGAACCACCCTTATCTGCTTATGTCTCTGATGATGGATTCGAGCAGGAATCCGAAACGTCAGGCTAATAAAGCTCTTGTCCCGGCGATCGTGTCTTCTTCTTCAAGTTCCACGTCTGTTATTTATTTGTGAAGCTGGCGCCAGAATCGACTTGAATAATCTCTACTTTAGCTCGGATTCGAATCCCCGAGGTACTATACGTCACTAGACTTTGAACTCACATACATATCTCTCGTTTTGTTCCCTTTGGGTAGATAATAATTGTTGATAATGGTCATTTTCTTTCATTAACATTTGCCCTAAATTACGAAGACTCCCAAGTTCTTTCAATTTTAAAACTGAGTTTCAGTTCTGCCCCTGATTCGCAGTATTTTAGAGGAAGTTAAGAGGTTTCCGAAGAAGAACGGCTAACTGGCGAGCTTAACTTCGCGGAAAGCCATCTGGTAAATGTCGCGAAACTCCCAGAAAAACGCAAAATCCTGCCCCCCGTGACTTTCTCCGAAAGCCTATAGCCCACCTCCAGACGGTCGCTTAAAAAACCGAACGCCTCCCCCCTTCGGACACCCAAATTTGAGTCGACGTCGTCTCAAATTTATACTCTTTGTCCCTGGGAATTTCAGTTATGTCATAGCCGAGGCCCTGATCGTGTTCCGGTCAGCATTCTAAAGGTCTACGTATCTGTTAGATTCCTGTCCCTCTTTGGAAAGATAGCTAACCTCTTTCTTGAAAGTGGTGCCTTGCAGATCGATATACATTTCCGATTTTTCACTTAAAACTTTCTTGTCATCAGAACTTTTTCGTACTGTTGCTTGAATAACCTAAAATACACACCCGGTTTCGGTTTGAGTTGACGCGTGTTTCTGCGCCTGTCTTCAGCTTGGCGTCATTGCTTCTCATGTGCCCTAATCCTTATATCCGTAGCTGATTCCGAACTCATGTCAACGTCAAGCCGCTAGTTTTCAATTTGAAGATAAGTGAAAGATATTAAGTGATTTTTCTAAGAGGCCTACTGATTTTAGCTCCTGTTGTTGGTTAAATTTCCTTAATTAGAGGCCTACCCACTCCGAACCACCAGTTGCCATTTCCTTTTAGAGTTCTGCTAGTCTGTGCCTGTTAAACATGAGTCGCACTCTGCAATTCGCATTTTGTGCACTCGATTGCTATCTAACAGGGAAAGTTTTTTACATCGTTAGTCTCTAGCTGAAATTTAGTCACCTGGTCTGTCAGAAGTTTCCTTAGTTGCAACTTGCCCAAAGACAGGATGAGAGCAAAAATCACAGGTCGGCGAAAGCTCTCGGCCTCTTTACCTAAGCATGGCGTAACTAAATCTAGGTCGAAGTCTAACTAAATCTAGTTCAGAGGGCTTACCTAAATATAAGTCAGAAGGTATTACTAATCAGGCAGCTTACTCTGTCTGCACTTTACAACTGCAATGATTGTGTGCTTAAGTTTGGCACTCTGCTTTCAATTCTTGAAAAATTATTCGACGAGGACATCTCCGATATTCCCTCTCAATAATGTAGGCATCTTGACTCACTTGTTCACCTGATCGCCAGTGAATCTAGTGTTAAACAAAAGCGTGCTTACAACTTTTAGTAGAAAAAATGTTCCTCGATCTGCTCGGCCAGTTGATGATGCGACTAATTTCCTGTATTCGTGGGGTTTCAACTACAAAATAGCCGATGGTAAACGCTTGTTCTACTGTAACGAAAATCCACCCGTCTTAGGTCAGTATATGGTCAGTACATCTTAAGGGTAATAGGCAATGTCTTTGAAAACTCTATTGAAAACGGTACATGCAATATCTACCTTTAATAAACATGGTACTAAAATTTTGCCAGTTATATATACGCTTAACAGAACATGTTTCGTTGAAAATGCAGGACCAAAACTGGAGAACATTCAGTTGAAGATGATATCGGTAAAATGAAATGACAGTCATCCGCACTAGCGGTAGGTGTGTGCACGGCGTTGGTTTGGCACCACAGAGCTGTTCTGTCCAGACAAGCGGTATTTTCCAAAAAAATGTACATCTAGTCTTTGCTTGAATGTCTTCGTGGGATCCGCCATTATTACGTCCTCGGGAAGCCCGTTCCAGGCACCGACGACTCGCTGTGAAACAGAATATTTCCGAAAGTCCAGACGGCATCGGGATACTCTACATTTTAGAGAGCTCCCACGTAAGTTTGTTGTTTTGGCCAGGATGAAGAAATCGTCGAGGTTTAGGGCACAATCCCGGTCTCTCAAAATCCGATACGCCTGTATGCAGTCCTCCAAACTCTTCAGTCAGTGATCATTCAAAACTCTGCGAAATTACTCAATTAATTTCTGTAGTTGTTTTGATGTTAAAATAATCACTGGGGATTTTGACCTTCCTGAAATAGACTGGGTTTCCAATATCTGTCCACCTTGATTCCAGCCCAATCCAAGATATTGTCCATTTTTCTAACTGGTCCCAACTAATACGCTCTACAACAAGAGATAATCACATTTTAGATCTAATCTTTACCAATGACATTGCTCCTCTTTTTGTTGCTTTAAAAGAGGACCTCTTTGATAGTGACCAAGTATTAATCCACTGTTGCTCACCGCTTGCCCTTTCAAAAAAGACCAGCACGGTTTGGACTTATCTAACTTATGACTGTGGGCATAACGGCTTAATAAATTACTATATTATATCATTGGATTAGTATGGCTTTCTCACCTGTAGCGATGCAATCATTCTTCGTGACGTCATGTCCAATGTTTCCAAGGACGTCCTAGCGTTTGTGCCTTGAAGATATCTCAAGTCTAGTTTTTCAAATTCCTTTTTCCTTATATTTTTCACAACAGACTAAAAACGTTGAGACGCAACTGCATGACCTATCCACTAGTTCGTTATCCTTCATCTTAGAATCGCAGAGACTTTCGAAATGGCTTCAAGGATGCGCCAAGCGCCCGGCGGCAAAGAGAATCACTTGCTCTCAGTGATTCGAACCCTGGCAAATCCTTCGCTAACATCTTCCGTCATCGATCCTCCTGTAAGCGTGGTCACGAACTTCCACCCCTATTAAACGATACAAAAGTCTTCCCCATCAATGACAGTGACAAAGCGGAATTGTTTAGCGCTTTCTTTCCAAATCACCTTAATACTGAGTCCGAACCGGTCCCTTTCTATCGCTCACTTTCAGATAGGTCTCTGAGTACAATCGCTTTCTCCTGATATCTCATTAAGAAACACATAAGTCGTTTTAAAAACTCACACTGCTCAGGAGCTGGCGCGATTCCAAATTCGATCATTAAACATGCATCCGACCTTCCCATATTGCTTAGTCATTTATTCGCGGTTTATATTTCAGACCGATTTTTTCCTAAAACATGGAAAACGTCAATTATCATTCCACTGTTCAAGTCTGGATCTCGTCCGATGCTAATAACTATCGGGGTGTGCACAAAACACCGTCTCTAGCAAAGCTTCTTGAAAGAATAATTTTCAACGACATTCTTGACTTCTGTCTATCTAATCAACTTTTAAGCTCTAGTCAACATGGATTTTTACCTGCACGATCCTGCGAAACTTGCCGGTTGGCATTTCTAAATCTAATCACTTCTCTTCGTAATGAGCGGCAGTCAGTGGTAGTAATCAACTTTGATCTCGGTAAAACCTTCGACAAGGTGCCCTATAGACGTCTTTTAGTAAAACTGGAAGCTCTCGGCATCCGGCCACCTCCACTACTCTGTCTAACCGATATCAGAAAGTCATGGTCCATAGTAGCTACTCGACAGCTCACTCGATCACGAGTGGTGTACACCAAAGCACGGTTCTGTGTCCGCTACTCTTCCTTCTTTACACCGATGATATTTCGATTAAACCCAGAAATTCGCAAACTTTTGTTTATGCCAATGATCTCAAGTGTGGTTACTCGCATTCTAGGCACACCGCAAATGTTTTTGTTGAACAATTAATACAGATTTACTACGCCTAAGCAGATGGAGTTCAACATGGTAGAGAGAGTTTTTATCATCTAAGTGTAGTTTCATATCTTTTGGTTCTGCCAAACTTCCTGGTCTCATAATTTTTCAGATTAATCATCTCTCAGAATGCCTCACCATAAGGACCTAGGTTTAGGTTATACAAATTAACTTGCTTTATCACCTCTTGCGGATAGAATCGCTATCAAAGCCGTGCAGATATGTGGATTCATATCGCGTATTTTTCCTTCCGGAAATGAAACTAAGACTTTGTCAAATGTTTGTTACTCCAGTCCTCGAATACTGCTGTCCTTTCTTTGGTTTAATGAACGCATGTGACTGTTATAAGGTCGAAAAGGTTCAGAGGGTTTTCATCCGGAAACTGTTCTCTCAAATTGCATCCAGTATTTCTTATACTCAGAGATGTCAGCTGGTGAACATTAAGCTT